CCCTAAACCCTAAACCCTCGCCTGCAGCATGCGTCTGGAGTCGGTTCCCACAGTTTGTGAGCTCGGAGGTCAAGCCGACTGGCCTCTCGTGGTTTCAGTCACAAAGGCTACATGTACCTTTATAGTCGGTTCTTAGGCCTTAACTGGGTTCTTGTTAAGGGATTTAATTTAAGTTACCATAATAAGGAAACCATATTATTTACTATAGATCCCTATTATGGTAACTTAAATTAGATCCCTTAACAAGAACCCAGTTAAAGGGGTTCCTATGTAGGTACTTTATGGCCTAAGTATCTACCATATTGGTACATGGAGCCGTTGGGAGTTGGCGGCTTGGTTCAAGCAAGTGAGACTTGTATTGAACCCGGGTTCCTGTTTCTGCTGCCTGGCTGAAGATAAGAGCAGTGACGTCCATGACGATGGTGACCATGACGAGGTAGCAACGTCATGACAGCATTTATGGGGAGGAGTAGCAGAACAAAGGCCAGGGGTAGGAGTAGCAGCAGCAGCGGCTGCTGCAGCGTCACTACAAGTCCTCGCCGCAGTCACCTTCGTCGACGTCACATCATCATGATCAGCATCACCATTGTGCCATGAAGGTCATCGTGAACGTCATCATCGTCGTGACCACCTTCGTCTTCTGCATCATGCTGGAATCTCGCATGATAACATGCACAACTCGGACGACAAGTCAAAACATTGCCCTTCTTGAGGCTGCTCGGAAGAACATTCTGGGAAACGGTGAGGTTGCAGTACTTGCAGACCGTCCTGCAGACTGTCCCTGCAGACACTCACGTGGCTACACGGCTACATGGCCCTAAACCGGACAGCTGCTGGCATGCTCAGCAAGCAGAGACTCACGACGGCAATCGATCTGACGTCAGTCGTTGGAACAGGGATATACAGGGATCTAGCCTTATGGCTACTTCCGGGACGGGACTACTATATTGAACAGCTACCATACCCAAAACGCGATCAGATCACAAGAGATCAGCTCAGACCGACGTGTATGGCACAGACGTAGGTAGTCCCTGAAAATAAGACATGGCCCCAAGCCTAGACATTGGCGGTAGGCCCTTGGCAGTTACACCTCGAACAGAAACTTCCTGCAGGCCTCTCTGCGTGGTCGGAGCGATTCAAAGGTTGCCATCCCCGATGCCCTAACGCTGAAACTTGCCAGAGCAACCAAAGAAGAACTTCCAAAAAACCCGGAACTACAAGTCGAACAGCTCGGATTCGCCAGGGCAGATTCTACTACCGGCGGAATCTGGGTCTGCGGCCACTGTGCTTGCAACGGCGGGGAAGACCTTGAGGCAGGCACGCATGCCCCGTCGACAACCCAACGGCAATCCATCTTGCAAACCCAGCTGAAGGAAACGGGACAGCAAACCTCACACCGACATCAAAACTGAGAACAAGGAATCTTCCAGCTTCCAGCACGTAAGCCCTAGACCATACAGTAACCCCTACTACACCCACGCACGCCCTGCACCCGCAATTCCCCAACCCCTCTGACAAACTCGTGCAGTAACTCTTTGCAGAACCCGAATCCCCGAAACCTCAAGTTGCCAAACCCACTGTTTATCAGGACAAGTAGCAGAATTGCTCCTTCCCGGGCTTGCCTCAGCGCCTGAAACCAGGTTTTCGGGCCTAGAACTCAGGATTTTAGGGGCTCCAGGCGTCTAGGGTTCAGGGTTGGGAGCTTCGGGTTTAGATTTTGCAGGGCCTGGGCTTGTGACTCAGGTTTAGTTCAGGGTTGGGGTGGAGGAGGGTCGCGAGGTTGAGGCTTGAGGACTTGGGGCGCACTGTGTTTTTCAGGACATATTTTCAAGCTTCCTGCAAGAATAACAGCAGTTTTCCGCGCTATCAGCATGTGGCTGGAAGCCACACTACGTCTGGCTATCCCCAGCTCATCGCCCTCCTCGGCCTCATCATCATCATCATCATCATCACCATCATCACCATCATCACCATCATCACCATCACCATCACCACCATCACCATCAGCATCGCTACCACTATTGCCAGTATTGTCATCATCACTATCACCAAGAACCACCGTCGTTGTCAAAATGAGCCCATACCCCGCGGTGCATCGCGACTCGCTTTCCTTGCGCAGCTTCTTGGGTAGCTAACAAACTTCAGCCGGGACCAGGGATGTGCCGCCTGTTTTAGGCGTCCGGCCACCTAATCACTCGAAGCGAGGAGGATATAGCACCTTTCCTCTTGATCACTTGCAACCCTGCTTCGAGTTTGCTTCAACTTCAAGACGATCATACTATACTCTAATGCAAGGTAAGATAAGATAAGATAGTACGATGGAGACTGACTGTCAGGCTCCTGGTCTCACTTCGAGTCGAACAAATCATCCACACTATCAGGCGGAGCGTTCCTTGACCGTCCTGGATCGGGCTTGGGCTTGGGCTTTGGGCCTTTGGCCTCAGGATTCCAGGCTCCCGGGTTTCAGAGGTAATGTAGGGGCCTTAATAATTATAATAGGGTTTTGGGGTATAGCATACTATAGTTATAATGTAGGGCCTTAGTAGTTAGAATAGGGTTTTGGGGTATAGTATACTATAGTTATAATAAGGAACCCCTCAAAAACTAGTATTGGTAATTATTCAGGCCCCTGTGTTTAAGCCTCTTAGCATTAGGAAATCGGGTGTCTAAGGTCGCCTCTCTCGCAAAGGAGCTGATGAGCTCTAGAACCTGTGTGGACCACTGCTTGGATATGTAGGGGCCTTAATAATCATAATAGGGTTTTGGGGCCCCTTATACTATACTTATAATAAGGAACACCCGATATAGTATTGGTAACTAATTTTGCCCCTACTATACCATTCTGAATCCTTCCGCGTCTGTCTGTGACCTCGCAACGGGAACTCTAAACGCTAAGCAGGTCGAGTGAAGTCCTTCTGCGGCGTCGCCACGGCCGTTCTTTCCTTTCCTCTTACCCTTGCCCTTCGCCTGACGACAGCAGAAGCTACATCGTTTAGGGCTTAGGGTTTTGGGTTTGGGGTTTGGCAGGCCCTTTGTTTCAGGTCCGGGTAGTATGCCATTGGCGCTCCTGAAGGTAGACTGGTCATGATGGTGATGGCCGTGACTCGACACGTGTGCTAGTACCGTTTAATGTCTGAGACCACAAGTTAAGTTGCGCTGAATTCCATTCCATTCCATTCCATTCCATTCAATTCCATTCCCATGTCGTTCCACCATGGTCGTTCCATTCGATCCCATTCCACTCCGTTCCGATGCGCGCTCCACGACACTCCATACTCCACGCCACTCGGTTCATTCATTCAGTCAGTCAGTCACTCCGTCTGTCGGTCAGCCAGCCAGAGTCAGTCTTAGAGCCCCCTAAACCCAAAACCCTCAACTATTACCGCCAATCTCTTCAAGTCACCAGAGAAGGAGCCGCCAGGGCCAATATAGAGGCCGAAATAATTACCAATACTGTTGTGGAGGCTCCTTATTAAGGCCGTCAGCCCTAAAGTACTGTAGCTGTAGCCCTGAAAAGCATGAAGCCCTAAACCGGAAAGAACTTCGTCGTGCGCCCTCCCCGCTTCCGCGATTCATTCGCGGAGAGCGGGTGGGGGGAGGGAGCTTGAAGCAGAAGCAGAAACACAGAAGCAGGAAAATTGGAGGATGATCGGGCGAAAGTCAAATCTTCCACCGCATCCCACTCTCCATGATCATTATGGGCATAATCGGCATGACGATCCCAAGTTCTGAGTTTCGAAGATGCATAGGGTCTTGGCGTGCCTTATAGCATAAGTATGATAAGGAACCCTGAGGACTTAGGAATCATGTTATTAACTGCCAGTAACTACTGTTGATGATATAAATCCTGCCTTACCTTAAGGACCCTAAACTATGGGAATCATGGTATATTCCTTATTATGAGTAACGCAGGATTTACATCATCAACTACTTAGGCCGCCACTTATGGCCTTTTGCTCTTCGTTCTGACTCCAAATCCCAGCTGTTTTCCAGCATGGGCCCTGAACAAATATGAAATCTTGCACCTCAGGATGGCTGTCATGAGATTGCTAAGCAAACAACTCTAGGAAGTCAGACTCTCTCCAATCTTCAACCCGCGAACACGCAGTCTGCACAACTCTGAATGAATCCACCTTGACGCGCTTTGGACACTGCAGATTAGAGCACGCAACCCCAGCGTGCCTTGAAACCCTCCGTGTCGAGTTCCGCCATCTGACAGCGTGAGCAAGGAAGGAACTCTATGTCGCAGACCCTAAACCGTAAACCCTTTCAAAATGATCCACTGTCGATTCCCGCTTTTCCATATCTTGCACATTGTATTTCGTTTGCCGTGTATAGTTAAATCATCTGGCATATGGCATGCAATGCTTGTAGTATCTTGGAGTCATGTCGGAACATGCATACTAGATGCATGCATGTTCCTGTGTGTACGCGCTGTGACTGCCCACCAGCACCACCACCAGCATCACCACCGGTACCGCCACGACCGCACCACCACCACCACCGCCACCACCACCACCACCACCACCACCACCACCACCACCATCGCCACCAAGAAATAGGAGGCATGTTACGAATTTTCCCAGCCGCTACGACGCAAGAATCTCTCACGAGCAAGCTCCAAAGTGATGATGAATGGGAGGACTTTCGGGATCTTGGGCTGCCGGATGTTGTGGCTGAGGAAAACGATGATGGACTTCTTAGGGTTTAGGGTTTAGGGCTTAGGGTTTAGGGCTTAGGGTCTTAAACCCTAAGCCCGAAATCTTGAATCCCCCCGAAGCCAGAGCCATAACCATATTCTGAACATTACGTCCCAGCCCCTCCCTTGGGCAGCTACATCACCTCTTTGTTGCAACACTGAGTTTTGTGAGTTGTAACGCCCCATCCACCTTCGTCCTGCGTTGCCAGAAGCTCACAGTCTTGGATATCCCCCATAAAACCCCACATCCCCCAAGCCTTACACAGATCACCCAGCTTGAGTTGTGGGGATACTGTAGGGACCAGAATCCCAACCCTAAACCCTAAACCCTAAACCCTAAACCCTAAACCCTAAACCAGAATCCCAGGATCGACCCCCTCAAAAAAAAAAAACGCAGACTTGTCCGCAAGCTCTTGGCCCTCCAAACGCAGACCAAAAGCTGAAAACCTTCGCCACATCGCCATATCCAAGCCACAAGCGCATATAAACCCACCAACCCCTAAACCCCACAACCCTAACCCCGAACCCCCGAACCCCTGAACCCTAAAACCCGAAACCTCTCAAGCCGATTCGTGTAGGGTTTAGGGTTTAGGATTCCTAACCCAGCCTTTCCCTTCCAGCCCTTCCCACGGCTGGGTTCCGGCTCGGTAACGGAAGCCTCCTGGCTTTCAAGTTTTACAATTTAGGGCTTGGGGTTTGGGGTTTAGAGTTTGGGGTCTGGGATTTGGGGCTTGGGGTTTTGGGGTTTAGAGTTTGGGGTCTGGGATTTGGGGTTTGGGGCTTAGGGTTTAAAGTTTGGGGTCTGGGATTTGGGGTTTAGGTGAAGCCTATACTTCGGGCTTGGGGGTTTCTGAAGTCTACGGGAACCAAAGCAGAAGCTATTTTTTCCAAACTCTAAGCCCGTACAACCCTTCTAAGGCGGTGACAGCACCCTGATAGAGTCTGATAGAGCTTGCTGAAACCCCCAAAAAGTCCCAAAATCCTGAAGTGTTGAACCCTGAACTCTCATGCCGTCAGCGCAAACATAGGGACCTCAAAGATCGGGTCTGGGGGGTGGGTATATCATACTCTGAATTTAATAATAATAACAATAATAGTAACAATAATAATAATAATAACAAATAACAATAATAATAATAATAGAAAAATAATACCAATAATAATAATAACAATAATAATAATAAGCAGCCCTAAGGAATAAGAACTATTGAATTGGTAGTCATCCTGAGGAACCCTATGGAACACCAGTTATGCCACCTCCTCTGCGGCTTCGGAGACGGTGTTGGCCTGCTTAGCCAGCTGCCTGGCACAGGGCTCCTATCAGGGCTCCTTAAGGGACTATTCCTTATAGGGGGTTTAGGGTTTAGGGTTTAGGGTTTAGGGGCCCAGCAAGGGCTCCTGCAAGTTTAGGCTCAAGAGCCTTTTGTCCGCGTTGGTCCAGCTTGGGGTTAGGAGGGTCTTCAACCTTAGGTTTATATGGTAATGACAGACTACCCAGCCAATTGCAGTTTCCGTCGAGTAGTAGTTTATTTGTTCTGTAGAAGATCATATCTGTTGCTACTAGACTATTGCTGTGCGTGCTAGTCCTCCACCGAGTGTTCTTCGGACTCAGCACCCGGGGTCCAAGCCCAGAGGCACCGCCATCCGGCCAAACTCAGCCAGAGCATGCGGCGTAGAGTGAGTAGTTACTCAACATACTACTTTGCTGAGGGTTGCGATGTTAGGGCTCGTTGTGCAGAAGCATACCATGCCTGAACCCACAGTCTTAACGATACGACAACAAGTAGAACGTCACAGCTCAAGGCCGCTGACTAAAGCTTTGAGGCTTTCGGACTTGCACTGTTTAGGGTTTCGGGCTGGCATGCACTGACGTAAAGTATCTGGCGGTTTTTTTTAGGGTGCCAGATTCGTTCCGCCGTCGGCTCAGCGGTATGGATGTTGGAAGTTTCAGACTTTGGGGGTTTAGGCTTTGGGCTTTAGGCTTGGTCTTTCGGGGGCAGGAAACCGCACACGCCAAGAGCCCACACCTCTGCACCAGCCCTGCATAGATGTTCTGGTTCTTCAGCAGCTCCTCTGATCACGGCTACATGTGAACGCGGAACCTTGGAAACAACATGCTCCTCGCGGTAAGATAGCAGCATCCAACCCCTATGCGCTGATCTGCAGAGAGAGCGAGAGAGAGCGAAAAGGCGACACAGGGAGGAGAGAGAAAGAGAGGCAAGAGAGAGTGCGAGAGAGGGAAGAGAGAGAGAGAGAGAGAGAGAGAGAGAGAGCGAGAGAAAGGAGGGAGAGGAGGGAGAGAGGGGAGGGAGGGGAAAGTGCCTTCTGCAAAGATGGATGGCCTTCAGATATGGTAGGGTGTCGGCCCTGCCCCAAACCCAAGTCCTCATGCGTGCCCTGCTCGACCACAACTCCCTTGTCCATGACGACAATCTTGTCGGAGCCTCTTCTTAGGTCAGTGAATTGTTTCGGGTTACAGTGGAGGGTTCGACGGTGAATGTGCAGAGCTCAGCGTTCTAGCAGACAGGGAGCTGGTGTCGTAGGGATGGGGCAGCTTTTTGAAGGCTGGGCTCAGAAATCATGGCTGTAAGGGAGAAGGGCACCTTAGCATAAACATGCGATTGGAGACTTTCGGCACCGACCCTATAAATACGACACCTCTCCTCCACCCTCAGACGACGTTACATCTCGACACTTGTCACATCCGAAAAGTTCATACCACCCGCTGGTGCTGCTTCGCACATAGTGGGTCCGGCTTGGGGTGCCCATCAAATTGCAAAGTTCACGAAGAGTCTAACAACCCTAAACGTGAGTTTGAGAAGTTCCGACTGAAACAAGAAACCCGGCAAACCCAACCCACTCGCTCAATGTGTCAGAATCTGGAAACCCAGGTCAAGCGCTAAGTTGCTTGGAACCTACTCACCTGAAGAGCTTCACCAACATCTGCCAAGCTGCTCATGACTGTGGACAAGCGGTGCGCGATCAGCATCCTTGCGATCATGAAGGTGTGCTGGTCACGCTAAGATCTGCTGTGGACAGACCGGTGCTCACGTCGACGATCTTCGATGTAGCACCATTCCCGCGGCTGCTGACAGTACCGTTTTGATGAATCTCGCGGCTGCTTCTTGCTTGCGGTTCTGGCTTCTTCAGGCTTGAGCTGCTGTGACTGCTAGCCGCTGTCTGCTGCTTGCCGAGTTCTGTTGCTTTTGTTGCTGGTCTTCTTGTTGTCTCAACATGTCCTCACGGGCTCTAGCGACTGTAGTGATTTAGGGATGCCCTGAAACGTCAGGCCCACAGGTGCGAAGCCCTGAACTCGAAACCTGAAGAAACCCATCCCCCCAAACCTAAACTGGGTTCTTGTTAAGGGATTTAATTTAAGTTACCATAATAGGGATCTATAGTACATAATAGGGTTTCCTTGATATGGTAACTTAAATTAAGTCCCTTAACAAGAACCCAGTAAAGGACTCGAAAGCCCGTACGCCCCGAACCCCCCAACACGAGCCGGGTTGGCACAGAGCAGTTGCCCTCCACACGGTGGACCAACTCATCAAGGGCCTTTCGAAGCTATGAAGCGAGCGGAGACGAACTAAAGACTAAAAGGACCTTAACTGTAAACCTTAAACCCTGAACCCTAAACTGGAATAAGAAACCCTATAAGGGCTTTGAATTGCTTTCATTGGGGTCTTACGGATGTCTGACATGCTTGTTATGGGGGGCCTCACTGAGCAATACATGGACCTAATATGCCTTTGATTTGGGGGGGGGGGGCGCTTTCTTAACACCCTAAACTCTAAATATCAAATCGGAACTAGTAATGTAGGGGCCTTTTTAATTAGACTAGGGTCTTGGGGCCCATTATACTACAAAAAGAATAAGGAACCCCAAAATACTGTTGATGGACATAATCCTGCATGACCCTATATACCTAAACTATGGGATTTATGGTACTATACTATATTTGGGTCATGCAGAGTTTTGTCCATCAACAGTAGTATAGGTAATCATTCAGGCCCCTATAGTAGGCAGGCAGACCTGGCCTGCCTTTGTCAGGCCAGGCTTTGGGAGTGGTAGGGCTTAGGGTTTAGGGTTTAGGGTTTAGGGGTTCTGACCTCGTTCGTTCCTGAGCAACTCTCAGCTGTCGGTCGTGGCTTCATATGGGTAGCTCTCTAAAGATAGGGTCCCTTTTTTGCGTCCACAATATAGTACGGCACCCTTATAAAAGGACACCAAAAAACACTAATTTAGAGAACTACACATATCATGAAGCCCTAAAGCCGTATGCCGTACACGTCCTAAAAACCGTAACACCCGGAAGCGTCAAAACCCTCAACACCCAAAAACCTGAAAACTGCAAGCCCTAAAGCCATGAACCCCAAAGTCTTTGAGCCCTGCATCCTAAAATCACGCCCCCCTCAACCAGGGAGTCAGGAGCCCAAAAACCCTAAACTCCAAGGTACCCTGCAACAACTCAACACCCCACAGCCCACAGCCCCCGAAATCCTGAAAGCCTCGACCCCCCCCCCTCCAAAAAAAAAAAGAATGGCTAAAGCCCAACAGCCCTAGACCCCGAATCTATCTAGAATGGGCCTCCTGCACCTTGCCCTCGTTCTCAGCATCCTCGGAGAAATTTCTGTTGTAACTCCCAAACTTTCGGGGTTGAGGGTTCGGGGGGGGTGTGTAGGGTTACCGAGCCAACTTGGGACTTTTTTCTGGAGCTCGGGTTCACGTTGCCGCGAGAGGCTTACTATTTCATGCTTATACAGGGACTTTAGATTCCTACACCTTGCGGGTTCGGGGTGGTGGGTTTACGGCTTAGTGTAGGGCTAGGATCGAGGAGTTACAATTACACGGCGTAGAGGGCTTGGATCTAAAGTTCGAGGGTCTGGGAATAAATCTGAGATTCCGACCCTCCTGAAACCGCAACCGTTCAGGTTCAAGCTGAACAGCACAACGCTGCCTGTCTCATGAACACGCGGCTCAAGGACCTAACCAGAATCAGAATCATAAGCCTATATATATATAGAGATATACATATATGATAATCATTGTATATAGTGATTATCATCCTCCACACCGCCATAGTCTTAATCTCGAGTCTGCATAAAAACATACCGAGACTCATGGCAGCACTACTGCGACAACTTGCTGTCCGGCAATGCTGCTGCGTAGACGGTACAAGCGCTGGTCTTCGAAACTGCCCCCCACACTCCAATAAACCCTGAACCCTAAACCCTAACCCCTAAAACCTAAACTACTAAACCCCTAGACCCCGAAACCCTAAACCCTATCCTAAACCCTATTCTAAACCCTATCCTAAACCCTATCCTAAACCCCTGAACCCTAAACCCTAAACCACTAAGCCTAAACCCTGAACTTGAATCCCCAAAGTCCTAAAGACCCAGACCCGGTACCGAGCCGCGAGTGCCGAAGTGGCCTTGCAGCGGCTGGGAGAGGCGGTTCTGAAAATGTTGGGGTTTAGGGCTGAGGCTTTAGAGTTTAGGGCTTAGGCCTTAGGGTTTAGGGTTTATGCTTCAGGATCTAGGGTTTAGGCTTTAGGGTTTAGGGTTTAGGGTGTCGTCGGGGTTCAATGTAGGGGTTTAGGGTTTAGTAGAAGGACATGTATCCTTAGGAGGTGACGAGACATTCCAGGCTAGACTACAGCTTGGCTACATAACGACATTAAGGGGAGACTACGACTACTTGTTGAAACTCCCTTTTCGTCAAACCCTGCACCATAGGACCTGCTCTTTGGGAGACTGGGGGCCTGCAGCTTATCAAGAGGGGTTCGGTCCACCGAAAACCCTAAACCCTAAACCCTAAACCCTAAACCGAAACCCTACACCCTAAAGCCCTAAGCCTGAACTCCTACAGGCTGAACCCCTAAACAGCTCAGCCTTCGGACTGATAATTCCCTGCGCAGACTTCACCAGGAGATGCAAAACTATACATCGGCATTTAGGCTTTAGGGTTGGGGTTTACGGGTTCAGCGTTTAGGGCTGCCTTCTGGCGTGGCCTCCTCTGAACCCTAAACTGAGAGCTCCCAAGCCAAGACCCCAAGAAATTGAACCCTAAATCGGAAAGTCAATACATCACCCCAACTCCCTAAGCGCAGCGCATGAAGACAGAAACCCGAAACCCGAACAGCACTGCATGGAACGGGCCTCGTCCAGAAGAAGCAGGGATGGCTTCCTCGCCGGCATGGGTCTCTAGTCATTCAGCACATATTCCAAAACGCAAGAGACAAGTCGAACAACGCCCGCTGTAGCTATGACTATTACTACTAGCAGCACCACTCAACCACCACCACGACGACGACTACTGCTTCTACTACTTCTACTCGGTCGAGCAAAGATACATGATATATGCTAAACTGTCTCACAATGAGACTGAGTATGACATGACATAACCTACTGCGTCTACTTTAGTCAGATTATGGACCGATGAGCGCCATCTTCGCTTTCGTTTTGCCGACGGTGTCAGTTCCACCGTGCCAAATATCAAGAACGAGAGTGGTTTTCCTGCGAGTACCGTAACAGTCATGTGTCCCCGTCACTGCACTCTTGATTGATGCGTCATGACAGCGGCCATGCTCCTGATACAGACGACTGCTATCAGAAAACTCATGCAGTTTCCGGCTAGGCCGATGTGACGATGTTGTATTCTGTTGGTGTTGTTCTGCCTTGTGGTGCCGTTACGACGTGTCTTGTCGCCTTACTTTCCAGCATTCACACTATGACTTCACCGTTTGCGGCCATGGTAACCGAGTGACATGCCAAGTACCGGGACTGATACTACTTTGGACGATGACAGGCCCCGAACCCCGAAGGGCGAGACTCTCGGCTCTGAATAACCCTAATTTAAACCAGGATATAGGGGCCTTGGAAATTAGAATAGGGTTTGGGGGGTACATTATACTGTAATTACACCAAAACTCTATTCTAATTATTCAGGCCCCTCAACCCTAAACCCCCTAAACTCTGCAAGCCCCCCCTAAACCCTAAACCCTAAACCCTAAACCCTAAACCCTAAACCCTCCCCTCCTCAACAGAGCTCGACCAATGGCCACCCGCTGGCGCTGGCCGCCGCTGAGGCGCGTTCCGCCCTCACCTGGCCCCGGGTCGAATGCGTCCTGGGGTTTAGGGTTTAGGGTTTAGGGGCTAATGTAGGGGCCTTCATAACTAGAATAGGGTTTTGGGCTCCTTTTAACAGGGTTCCTTAAAGGGTTCTATAAGGGCTACTGTTTGGGATGTAGGGGCCTTAATAACTAGACTAGGGTTTTGGGGCTCTTGATACTATACTTATGATAAGGAACCCCACGGAGCGAAAGCGCAGGGATGTATAATCTAGGGGTCTTGGGTCTGAAGAATAACCCCCTGAGCTACTTGTTGACGAATGTTTATGCAAGGGGTTTCGTGAGGGCGACTGGTGCTCTCTTCTGCAAAGCTTTTTAGACGAGGGTTTGGCTTCTTCGATAATACTGACTACCTCTTTCTAGAGGGTGTCAGTCTATGAAACCAAATTTGAAATTCCCTGTATCCCAAAGCCCTTTCTGGCACCATGGTCGGGGAATCCGTTTCGCAAAATGCCTTGAAAAAGCTGACCTTGGACTGCCGGACCCTCTACCCAAACCCCAAACCCTAGAGTCCTAAACCAGAGAGTCCTAAACCCTACAATCCTACACCATAGAGTCCTAAACCCTAGAGTCCTAAACCACGGAGTCCTAAACCCTACAACCCTAAACCATAGAGTCCTAAACCATAGTGTCCTAAATTTGGAATCTAGAAAGATTTCAATGAAATCTGCCGGGAACCTCAGGCCTGAGCCCCGAAAGCTGAGCAGAAAATCCATCACTATGATACAGACTGGCCTGCAAGGAAATAGTGTGGCGGTTTGTGGGAGATGGCTATATGTACATGTGTGCATATATATATATATACATATGTATATACACACGTATGCACATATGTACATACATGCATACGTACA